AGGAGGAGGGGGAGGAGGACGAGGAGGAGGATAAGGAGGAGGAGGAGGAGGAGGGGAAGCTCTGCCGGTTGGGGTTGGAGGTGCCCGCGCGCGCAGCCTCGGCCGTGCACACGCTCCGCCCGCGCAGGCAGCTCGCCGACGAGCTCGCGGTGCAGGCGATCGGGCATCGGGCTGGGGGGCGCACAGTCGATGTGCGCTCGCGCCACATCTGACATTCCTTCCCTCCCGCCCATCCCTTTCCACGGCGCTGCTTTGTCTCCATCCGCCGACGCGTGTCATGGCGGACCTGGAACTCCCAGACAGATCCCGTGGCGTTGTGCGCACTCGGAAAACTGGAGCCGCGTGCATTCGAGGAGGACGAGGTAACGGATTAGCATGAGGCTGATGTGGAAACAGGCGGACGAGGACGAACAGCGGAGGAATTGGAAGAGAAGTATGAGGACCAGATTAAATGCAGGGCGCATCATCGGTGCAGCAGCACACCTTCCCGTCCCAATTTCCCTCCGCACACGTCCCTGCCAGCGTGCCCTGTCATCCCAGGGAGCCTTTTTGTTGAAAGATGGGGGGCCGACGGGGGGCCGGCACTATGCGAGAGGTTCGTTTCGAAAACGAGGCGCTCTTCTTCTGTGTCACCGCTGCGCACTTTTCAGAGGCATTAAAAATTGGATCATCTCAAGTGATACCAATGAGCCGCGTCCGCATCTGACTGTCGCGTTGTGTAGAGCTCCTGTATGTGAGGTTCGCGGAGGTATCAAGCGGCAATTACATTCTGGGAAAAAGTCTGCTTCAAGCGATCCCACCGATTCCTCTGGCGTTTGATCCCGACAATGCGTGTGCCCATTGGAACGATGGGCGCTTTGCCCGGTGGTGTCGGCCAGTGCGGCGACCTGACCAGGTCGCAAATTGCCGCTCTCCTGAAATCTAAGGGCCCCAGAGCCCCTGACGAAAAAAACGAAACAAGCCCTTGGGCGAAAAACTAACCTCCAAAACGCGTGGTGCGAAACTCCAAACATGTCTTTAGATAGCCAGTAATTTAGGGGGTACTAGTAGTAGTACTAGTACTAGTACTAGTACTAGTACTAGCACTAGCACTAGCACTAGCACTAGCACTAGCACTAGTAGTAGTAGTAGTAGTAGTAGTAGTAGTAGTAGTAGTAGTAGTAGTAGTCGTAGTCGTAGTCGTAGTCGTAGTCGTAGTCGTAGTCGTAGTCGTAGTAGTCGTAGTCGCAGTCGTAGTCGTAGTCGTCGTCGTAGTCGTAGTCGTAGTCGTAGTAGTCGTGCGTTCCGTTTCGTAGTCGTAGTCGGTAGTAGACGTAGTAGTTAGTGTAGTAGTAGTAGTGTTAGTTGGTAGCAAGTGGTATTAGTAGTAGTAGTAGTAGGTAGTAGTAGTAGTAGTATTGTATTTATAATAGTTAGTAGTACTACTAAGTACTATTAGTATAATAGTTGAGTAGTGTTGGTAGTAGTGAGTAGTAGTGAGTAGTAGTAGTAGTAGTTAGATAGTAGTAGTAAGTAGTTCGTCGTGGTTCTCCCAGTAGCACGATAGTAGTAGTAGTAGTAGTAGTAGTAGTAGTATAGTAGTCTAGTAGTAGTAGTAGCAGTAGTAGTAGCAGTAGTAGTCGCAGTAGTAGCAGTAGTAGCAGTAGTAGCAGTTGTAGTCGTAATAATAAGTAAGTTAGTAGTAGTAGTTGTAGTAAGTAGTAGTTAGTGTAGTCAGTAGTCAGTAGTAATAGTAGTAGTTGTAGTAGTCGTAAGCTGTTAGTCGTCCTAGTAGTAGTAGGTAATAGTAGTCGTAGTTTAGTAGTCAGTAGTAGTAGTAGTAGTAGCATCGTTAGTCGTAGTAGTCATGTAGTAGTAGGTAGAAGTTAGTAGTAGTCGTATCGTAGTAGTAGTAGTAGTAGTAGTAGTAGTAGTCGTAGTAGTAGTAGTAGTAGTAGTAGTAGTAGTCGTGGTAGTAGTAGTAGTAGTAGTAGTAGTAGTAGTAGTAGTAGTAGTAGTAGTGTAATAGTAGTAGTAGTAGTAGTAGTAGTAGTAGTAGTAGTAGTAGTAGTAGTAGTAGTTGTCGTAGTGCTGGTCGTAGTCGTAGTCGTAGTAGTAGTAGTAGCAGTAGTGGTAGTAGCAGTAGTAGTATTATTAGTAGTAGTACTTGTCGCAGTACTAAGTAGTAGTAGTGGCAGTGGCGGTAGTAGTAATAGTGATAGTGGTAGGGGCACTAGTAGAAGTAGGGGCAGTCTGGCGTGACGTCGAGGCGCCTGTCTCGTGTGATATGTTGTGGGATCGGTCGTTGCTCCGCCTGTTTGGTCCAGTTGCCAGCCTGACTTCGGCTCGCACGTCGCGTTTGATAACGTTACAGTATGGTGTATCATGTCATGACGTTCCTCTTCACTTTTGGTTTGTGTTGCTCCATGGTGTGTTATTACGTTATGTGGCACTGTGTTATAGCATAGCATGGTATGTCAGGTTGTGTCATGTGTTGGCTGCTCATTGATGATATCTACGTTATGCTTGGTTCGTTGCAGTATACGGTGTCCTGGTTTGGTATGACGGTTCCTTTTATTGCATTATAATCCTTGATGCGTTATGTCAAGCTGTTGTAGGAGTACCAGAAGTAAGAGAGTCGCCGCTTTTCTGGTACCAACCGTAAACCAGTTATGGCACCTTCTGTTATGATATGTGAATGGCACGCTATGCTCCGCTATGTCATGGTATGCGTTGTTGTTTCATGTTATGGTCGATGCTGCGTGTTGTCATGCTCTGCTATGTCAGGAATGTGGTTTTCGATGGTCTCTTATTTCTTGCTATGGTAAAGTAAGTTGTGCCGAGATCTGTCAGGGTGTGATTTGTAACGTTATGAGATGGTGTGATTGTTTGTTATGTTGTGATATGTTTGTCAGTCAGTGGCATCGCATGTTATGGTAGATTAAACTATGTCATGGTGTGACCAACCCTTCTCTGCCATGATGCGCGATGTTATGGTATGCTATGTATGCTTCATGATGTCGTTGCATGCGTTGTTGTGGTGTCCTGTTCTGTTCTGTTCTGACATGATTTGAATGCTTGTGCGTTATTATCTGATGGTGTTATGACATATGATGGCACTCGATGCTATAATGTGGTATGCCGCGCTCTGTCATCATATGCTTTGTCATTTGATGTAATGCTATGTGTGTTGATGCTGTTCCACGGCATGATATGTTCTGCCATCGTTTGTTGATTTGCTTGATATGGTCGGTCAGAGCAGGTTACGGTATGCTATACTATGGCATGCTACAATGCATGGTGGTATGTTCTGTTCTGCATGATTTTGTTCTTCATAGCTTAGTGTGTTTAGACATGCAATGTTCTGTTATTGCGTAACATCTCAAGCCGCGCTCTGTGCGCTCTGTCATGTTGTTATGTGTCATCTGTTATGTGACGGTATCGCTCATGTTATATGTTATGTCATGTTGTGTTTTGTTGACGTGTGGTTTGTCATTGTAAAATGTAGTATGCTATGATATGTAATACTATGATATGGTATTGCATTGTTTGTTAAGTTATGTTCGCACCGGTGTCATGATGTGTTGCGATATGATATAATATGATATTATATGATATGATATGACATGTTATGAGTGGCTGTGGCATGTTCTGTTTGGGCATGTACAGTTCTGCGGTGGGCCCTTACGGTATGCTTGCGTTGTCGTTGTATGGCATGTTCTGTGTTGTGATGTTGTGTTATGGTATGCGCTGCTCTGCCATGGTGTGTGATGCTCGGATATGTTCTGTTAGGCCGTGTGATGGTATGCTCTGTTCTGTCATAGCAGTTAGTATTGTGCTATATTCGTTTATGTTTTTTGTGTATCATATCGCTCTGTCATTTCATGATGTGCTGGCGCGAGGCGGGACTCTCGGGGACACTCGGGGGACCTGGGGATCTGGCGGCCGCCGTATGCAGAGTGGCGCGCGGCGGGGCTCTCGGGGACACTCGGGGGACCTGGGGATCTGGCGGCCGCGGTATGGCGCGCGGCGGGGCTCTCGGGGACACTCGGGGGACCTGGGGATCTGGCGGCCGCCGTATGCAGAGTGGACGGGCGGGAGGCCAATGCTCAAAATCTACTGACCCCAACTTGCCGGGTGAGGAATGACTCATCTTACATCGTCGTACAGATATAGCTTGTAAACGATATCTGCCTCAGGCCACCGAATTTTTTCATGCACAGAACCATGGCATTTCAACCTTCCAGGTCGCACGCATTGGACAGGCGGGTTCCAGCTAATGTGCAGCTAATGGGTTTTGTACAATTTTGGCCGTGGTTAGCCCTGTTCCGAAGTCATAGCGAGGCCTCGTTGCCAGGCGCGGGCCAGCCCCTTGCCCCAACTGCCGTTAGATCTTCTCATGGAAGAGGGGGACGGGGGGGGGAGGGGGGGCGAGGAGGAGGAGGAGGAGGAGGAGCCGACGACCATAGCAGTGGGACCATGGCGGCGACGACGGCGGAGATGGCAAAGGCAAAGGGACTCGCCCTGAGATCCAACGTCTCGAAAGAACTGAGACATCGTGAGAAATCACGACTGAAGCCCTGAACCCCATCTCTCTGCGCCTTGCTTCGAACCGCGTCGATTTGTGAGGGCTTCCACGACGGTCAAGTAGGCAATACACTTCGAAAACGGCCAAGATGGCACCAAGCCGGTTCAAGATGAATACAAGACGGCTCCAGTAGCTGCAAACTTGTGGCGTTCAAAACCCGGGTAGCGGCCGTCATAGGCCTCTGTGCCAGGGTTTGAAAAGCACGCGGTGCCAGCCCAAGAGACTGCCGCAAGAGAAGGCGGGTGAGGGGCGGAGGCGAGAGGGAGAAGGTCCTCTCAGCACGAATTGAGAGTTCAAAGCCACTCGCCTGCCCCGTCGCTGCCATCCGACCCCAGGGCGGCGACGACGGCGACGCCATGGTCGCCAGGCTCTCTGAGTCGCCAGGCTCTCAGGGCGGCGACGACGGCGACGGCGATGCCGATGGCGGCGGCAG